TGGTTCCTACAATAATACGACACAAACCAGAAAAGCTCAAGACTTTACTTTTTAAAAAAGACTGATTGTGTTACACACCTAATTCCACTTAAAATACCAATGAAATTCTCTAAAAAGTTTCATTTTCCCCTATTTTCTATGGAACTACCATTAAACATCAGTCACATCTACCACAGCCAGAAAGAGCACATTATCAGTGTACACAAACTGCATTTCTGTGTGAGGAGAATGGAGGTTACAGGAAGGTGATTCACATCCAAATGAGCCCAATAGAGAACATTCTAACAGCCCATTTGGGGAGGGTAAGTAAAGAATCAATTTACAACTATGCAACCATCTACATGGCTAATTTGGAAATGGAAATGCCTGGCTTTTAAGACAGGTATGCCACTGTTCCTGTCATTTAAATAGAAATGCCAGAACAGGGGATGGTATTTCAGATATATTCATCCATTCTTTTTTCCCTTTAGCTCTTCTTCATAATACAGTTGACTATGGTGCTCCAGGTAAAATATACAGCACTGCTTGTGGGATAAAAAATGCTATGCAAATTTTTAAAGCTAACCTGAAGAAAGTATGCCAACATTTGCGACACCACAATGGTTTACCAAGCAATCACATACTGCTAAGTGCTTTCTGTTCAGTCCCTCAAAATAAAACATATTAAAGCCTAAACCTTGGTAGAATAACCTCCCAGTCTGCAGACAACCTTCCTGATTAAAATCATGACATAGTGAAAAGTCCCAAGAGGCCCAGACAGCCTGGGGGAGGGGAAACTCCAGAACAGACCATAGGTGGAAAGGAACAATGCTCAAGATTCACTGAACCCCTTTAACAGAGGGTGGGCAGTGCTGGATGAGCTGCTGAATCCCAGGATTACTGCAGCCACTCCAGCTTCTGCAATCCTGCTTCACAAGCAGTGAGCTGAAGTTCCCATCTTCCCCTTGGAAAGCCCACATCTCTCTTCCTGGTCCCACGCCATGAACATGCCAAAGACTGACCTACAAGGATCATGAAGGTCCAAGAGGCAGACTGACCATCTCTGCTTTCCAGAAATAGTGTCCAAATTAAGATTTCTAATCAAATATTTGTTTCCTACTTTAAACTAAAAGTAGTATAGACTTAACTCTCTGTTTGCAGATTTAACACTTACCTTTACTAGAGGTAATGCTGGAGACCTGGATGGATACTTTGCCTTTCAATTACCATGGTGGATGTTTGAGTAACGACCCACTTAAACTATTTGATACCAGCACTTCAACTTTGCTTTAGACAAAGTGTATTCAGCTGGGGTGTGAGTAAAGCAGCCAAGGAACTGATCACCTGTGTGCTGACTACACCTGCAGCAGGATGGCTGGAAGAGAAGCAGGCAGCAAAACACGCTGACCTCATACTATTTATCACGACCACAGCTCCCCTAAAGTCCCCTGTAGTTATTAAATAACAGCCATTTCCCATACTAGTGACTATTTAACATACAGAACAGAACTCTTACTAGTACTTACAGCTGAATGTTTTCATTACAAAAGCCTTTATACACCAAGTTTCTTTATCAAGTGAATATAAACTGGCACGAGTTTACACATGTAAAATAAACACTAATAGCCTGTGCTCAATAGTCCTGTTCTCAAAAAAATTACCATAAAAGAACAGTAACGTGGATGTGCAACAAAAACCTGCTCATTTCACCTCATCTAATTCTGCAGCACTCCTCTTCAGCTGAACAGGAAGACTACTTTCATTTGTTCTCAAGTAATTGAGAAACATTTCAGCTACTTATCAGCTCTTCAATCTTTCTTCCTTTCACACATTCCCTAGAATTGTTGCCAACAGGGTATTTATAAAAGATTCAGCCTCGCAAAAATACTTTGGCAAACAACGTCGCAGGAAAAAAAATAGAAAATGAAGGAGTTGTTATGTAGAGAAGATTTAAAGGGTTGGATCGTTGTTTAAACAGCAAAAAATAATTTAAGTTGTTTAAATAGATGCAAGAGCTGTGTGAGGGAGCACTTCCTACCCCTGGACCAGTAACTCCAGCAGCAGCCACATACCTTTCCTCTGTGGGTGGAAATGTGTGTTTATTTTGGAAGGGGTTTGTGCTCCACATCACAAATGGAAACATTCAGCTCGGGCTGAGGCCTCAGGGCAATACTGAACTGACAACACACCACATACACACCCCCACAGGAAACCTCCTTCCTCCTTACTAGTTTCTCTTTTCCTGAGGCCTCACCAGAGACTGAACATGCAACAGCCCCATCTCAGCTTACGGAGATCAGAGCTCCGTGAACAAAGCAAACGAGTTCATTACTAGACGGGACACATCTCCACATCTGCCTCTGTGCTGGACAAATAAATGAAAACCTTACTATTACTTGTTATTAATTATTAATCTTACTACTAATTAAAAAGAATTAAAAAGCACCTTGATAAGAGCACAGGCTTCCAGCACACCCCCAAAGGGTAAACCCTCCCTTGCTATCAACTCCCAAGCTCAGCCCTTCCAACCCACTTCAACAAAGTGTCTTTTCCTTCACAAACTCTGCTGAGAGTAAATATATTGTCTCCAATCAGCCAAAAAACAAACCAAAAAACCCTTCCATATCCCATTTCCAGTTGTGTGGTTTATTTTCTCCAACTGGTGCAAGCATTTCTCACTGCTATGGCAACCCAGTTGCAGAACTGAATGACACATGCATAAAATGAAGCAATCTTCTTTTAAGTTACCACAAGCAACTACATTAAGTCATATTTATATCTCAGCTACCAAAATCTACATTTTGCACAATGTTCAGTTTCAGCCCAGTTTTAATCTCTGATTTAATGCATCCTGCCCACTGGCATGTGATACCTGATGCAGTCCACTCAGTGTTACTGTGACATCCTGTCTTTACAACTAATTTAATTACTGTGTCCCAGATAGGAAATAAATTAATTAAATTCAATGATAATCCCTGTGGTTGCCTTTTAGTTGTAGTAGCATTTGTCACTCAACCTTGAAAATGTATCCAAATTAAATAGTTGTGCAGCACTGCAATAAAGTTTACAGTCAACTTTGAATATCTGAGGAAAAAAGGTTCAGTCAACTTTTTCCTCTCTTTAATTTTGTATTAATATTTTCCATATTTTAGGAAATTCCTGCTACCTATCATAAGCTTATGCACATCCCTCCTACAGAAAAAGGTAAGGAACTGTACCACGAAGTGGAAAAGCATTCCCACAGAGCAACCTTAAAAGAAATGAGTAGTTGCCAGACAAAGGAAATTCAAAGAAGGGTCACTTAAAGGACTGTAAATAACCCCTGGCCATTGCCCTGAGGATGAACAGGAGGTTTTGTTTCTCTGCAGGACAGATCAACTCCTTCCAAGGACCCTGAACTACAAAAAGGTGCATCACTGCTTCGGACAGATGAAGCAATAAATGCCTAAACTACTTAATCTCTAAGATAACTACTTTTATTCACTGTTGTCTTCTTCCCAATTCATATTTTATAGCAGTAGCACAGGATGATTAAGTACAAGGAGAGTGGACCAAAAATACTTGAAAGAAACAAACTCCCAAGCATACCTGAAAAACTGAAGTTATTATCTAAAAACTTAAACTTGGCAGTTTCAAGCAATTAAAAGCAAAGCTGTCACAACAAGAGACAGAAATAGTAACATCCCACAGAGGCAAAGCAGAAGGCGCTGAGTCTCACTAGTAACAGAAATGAAGAGCCACTGCATTAGCACGTGAAAATGAATGCAGTTACTCTGACAGCAAAAACATCTGCCACTGAATTGTGACATTAAAAAGTCATTATAATCCATTATAGAACAGAGAAATCTTTTCACACAGAAATGAGCTGATACAGAGAACAAAACATGCAATACTGCAGAAACAGAAACATTATATTTAGCTAGAAATCGCTCTCATGCATCTTAATTCCAAAGTTTTTTTATGTACCTAAGACTTGGTGGGATTTAGCTACTTCTGCTGCCTTCTGAAAGCAAAATCCACTGTTATAAACTGCATGAGATCTCACAGGGCAGATGCAACAGAATTCAAACTTAAACTTCTGAATTCACATTTTCTACATAGGAACAACTTGGAAAGAAAAGGACAGAGTTTCAATAAATTACTTGTTACAGTGTCTTCATCAGGTAGTCAGGTCTTTATTTTTCTGAATTCAGTATTACTGAGGCAATACTTAATTTCTGCTGTATAATAAGTGTATAATAATAAAAAGTGTTTGAAACATAAGTTGTTTAGTCAATCCCGTATGTTAGGCTTGGTTCTTCTCTAATTCTCAGTCTTTGGGAATCTGGGAAGTTCCACTTGTCTGTCTGTCACCTAATTACCCAGCAATAAATAACAGTGCATATTAACTGGTTCAGAACTGTTCCACAGCCTGAGTTCTGTGTGCTGCCATGTACACCAAAGGGCAGACCAGACAAAAAGATTTCTCCCAGGGCAACTGGGAGTTCAGTGCCCACGAAGGGGAATCCAGTCCTTACCTCTGCTGCTTCTGGGACTGTGCTGCAAACCAGCCCCAGTCTCTTCCCAAGAAAAAAAATGGGCAGTGGTGCAAGTGGGGGGAATAGTTTCCAGTAAGTTCAATGACCTGAGTTTGCACACTAAATTGAGTTGAATTGTGCATGCAGAGGCAGAGTGGCCATTAGTTGTCTTTGAAACAGATAAATAACTAAACAACTAAATGGAGAACTACATCTGTCCTGAGACCAGAGAAAAAAAGAGGACAAATGCTGTGTCACATTTCACAGAAAATTAATCCATATATTCTTGTCAAAAAGCTGGATAGGATACACAGCAATATAAGCAAAAGCTGAGAAACCAAACATATAGTCAGATCCTCCAACAAAACTTCAGGAACAGAACTATCCTAGTAAGATATACTCTCCCCAATTAACAGACACAAATAATGAAAAGTACAAGCACTCCTTTTTTAAACAAGCTCATAAAAATATCAAACAGTTCACAAAGAATAAACATGAATTTACCTTTGGTTTTTTGTTCAGCAGCCTGAAAGAAGAAAAGAACAAAACAAATCAACTATTTGTCAATACTCAAAATTATACCTAATAATGATAGGGCTGCAGGCCTAACTTTGTGCAGGAAGTCCTTACACAAATCAGGCATTAGTTCCAGTTAAGAACTGGAGAATGTTAGTTCAACTCCATGTATAAGGAATGTAAGAATGGCTGCCTCTGTCTGATTGATGCCAAAAGCAGATGCCAAAGAGACAGTATAAAGTATGGCAAGGGATATGGCACTGACCCCATCTACCCATCCAGTGTTCTCTCTCTTGAGAAACAGAGGCTTTCTGAACCAAACATTATGTTTGTGAACTTTTTAACACTCAGCAGAAGTAACTTCTGTGAACTTGCCCCCTATCCCTTTGAATCCACACACACTATTGGCTTAGACACAAAACCTGTGAAGTTTTTATCTGTTTGGAACCTACCCACTTTTTTTATGATGCTCAATTTTTATACTGAAAAAGACAGTGATCGATTCCTTTTTAAAATCAAAACAAACAGTGTAATCCATCAACACCTGCAGGTTACTCTTAGGAGTAAAGGGCTCATTTACAACAGGAACATGAACAAACCTTTTTCTGAGCACCTTCCTTCTTTTTCTTTTCTTCCTGCTTTTTCTTTTTCTTTTCTTCCATCAAATGTTCCTCTTCTTGTGTTTCTTGTTCTTTCTCCCTGATAAGAACAAAGGTTGGGAAGAGATTTACAATAAGACCAAGTTTACCTAGAAAACTAAACAATCCATGCTTGTATTGCCAACTTTCTACCTCTCATGTCTAATAAAGGCTGCTTCTAAGGCTGCAATAAAAGTACTAAAAAAAAAGTTGTTCCAAAATTGAAACTAACAACAAATAAACCAGTAGGCAATGAAAATTCAGAAAGAATAGATTGTATTTGGAACCTCTTTCCACAATCACTCACAAGTACTACTTAATATTAGCAAATTCTAGGGAAAGAAAGTTTAAAACTGGAAAAAAAGGAATAACTCCAGGTAATTAGTGCAAGTTTTGCTGGCTTTCAACAGCTGTGATTCACAATATACTTTAAAGATCATGAATGAGTACATTATTTTTGAATTACTTTACTTTTTTTGATCAAACGTGCTGTATTAATTTCTCATACACATCAGTTTTGTTCTCTAGACTTGTACACTAAGATCCGGAAGAAATCCAATCATATTTTGTGTTCATCCTATAAATTCTAGCTGAATCATTTGCATTAATACAAAATAGGACTGTTCCAGTAGCATCCTGATTAAAATTTAACCTGAATTGTCCCAAATCAAGAAGAAAACCCATTTGAAAGCTTCCTATCTCTGCTATGTCCATCACTGTAATAAATGGTTATAGCAGTGACCCTCCCTAACATCCTTCCCAATAAATACCAATGCAAATAATTCATTTACTTCTCTATAACTATTTTATCATCCTTGACAGCTCTTCAGGTCCTGATCATTTATCAGCCTTACAGATCTTCTGAGAAGGCTGATTCTGATGGGTTGAGGCCATTACTATCACTATTATTAGATTCAATGTCTTCCAATTACTCCCCAAGACCACTTTTAGCCTAATTCACTACTGCTTCACATTTAACTTGCCAAAGCCTACAGCCCCCCCCTTTTTTTTGTTTAGATTTTTTCTGTTGATGTTAAAAAAGGTTTTTTTAGCAACAAAACTCTTTGCTTAATTTTTAATCACAACAGGTCTGTGTGTGTCTCAGCCCTTTAGCTGAAGGGCATTTCACACCTCGTGTTTTCAAACATTGCCCTGAAACATTTTGAATTTAACTGTTTCTTTCATTTCCCTTTTAACAAATTTACCTATTCCTACATAGTTTGGCTTTTCATAAAAAAAGGAACATTGCAGTAAATTTTTTTGAGATTTCAGCTGCTGAAGGGTGTTCTGGTTTTTGGCTTTTTCGTTTGCCTGAAAATATTGATTTTGGCCACTGAAGATGCTTTAATGCTTACACAGATCCTGCATGGAGCTCCAGACTAAACCAAAGCAGATCCCCCCTTTCCTTGTGTTACCCAAAACAGTAAACACTACATCAGCATTTCACCGGTCTAAACTTAGGTGATAGTGTCCTTTTAGACACTTCACAGCACCCAAACTATGTACAGAAGTGAGATATATGGGCAAGATCCAGGGTCTGGAAGAGCAGCTGGAGGTCAGGCACACCGGGGAGTGCCTGGTGCACCACTGAAGGTCAGGACATCTGAAATGGCATTAGATATCTGTACTTCAAATACTGAATCACTTCCTGTCGTGGCCAAAATTTCATCACCTGCATGACTGCTCAGCTTTATTCCAGTTCCAAAGGGCCACCTTTTAGAGCTCACACTGTAAATCAAGGTTTGACAAACGTTTGCTCATAGGAGTTGCAGGTGGGTGTTTGCAACACATGTTAAATTGCACTTAAGAAAAAGGTACTTAAAACTGTACTTTTAAATGGCTTCTTCTAGGGCTCTGCAAAAAGTGATAACTTACATTCCCAAAAGAAACTGAGTTGAAACCGTAACAGGTTTGCCTTTATTCCTCTAAGCTCCGGAGGAGAACTGAAGTCCCCAGGATCTCAGGAACTACAAAGAAACAACATCCAGTCCCTTCATTTTCAGTGCTCCCTACCCAAGTCACACCAGACTCTACAAAGCCTGTGTTCCAGTGAACTCTCCCAAACTGTCAGACTATTGCCAGGGGAAGTTCAAGCCTTTTTTTGGTTTTTTTTTTAAAGCAGGTGAATGAGACAAGTCAGCGCAAAATGAGAAACTTTTTGGCTTCCTCTTGTTAGTACTTAAGAAAACCCCCGGCATTACAGCGATCCCACACCACCACAATTACACTTCAAACCCCTTCAATACTCAGGGTAGTATTTAAAAACAAAACCAAAAAAGCCCCCACAAAAACAAACCACCACCACTTTGCTTTATATGCAGAGTCTTCTTTAAGCTATGAAAGTATTTATTTTCTTGTTAGGCCTCTTTTTTTAATATCAAGTTCCTTCCACAGAACACCAGGTTGGAAGGGATCTCAGTGATCATCTGGTCCAACCTTTCTTGGCCAAAGCACCTCGTCCAGCCAAACCTTAAATGTCCAACACTTGGGATCAACTTTCATCACTGCCAAAGTCTCACTCCTCACACTGGACTCCACTACGAACTTTGGTTTCCAGGTAATACAACACCTCAGTGGATTTTCAAAATCAAAGAAGAGCAAATGTTTTGCTCCATTAAAAATACAACACATTTTATAACCATATTATCACATCAATTACAACATCTGAGGTAAAAGTGCCCCTCTGCCCCAAAACCTGGGTTTTGGTTGCGGGGGTTTTTCACTCCTGATATTAAAATAGCCTCAGATTAGCTCAGAAAATGATACTATAATTTTTAATGGAGTTCAATTTTCAAAACTGATTTACATAATGACACTTCTGAATACATGTGCTTTAAATGTGCTTAAAATAGAAATGAAGCTCCAAGCAGCCCCTCAGATGGCAACTCTTGCTGTCACTAGTCAGAAATTAGTCATCTAGGAGCAAAACAAAAGGAAAACAATAAAAACATTGCTATATAAAGTTGGATTACGTTGTCAGAGGCACATGTTGCAGCTTTACTTCCTGAGAGACAGTTTAATCTTTATTACAGGAAATACGCTAAAACACTTATGAACACAAAGCTCATGTTTTAAACCAGGAGTGTCTCAGAATATCCTTGTAGGAGTTTGCCTTTTTAATATATATGGATTGGATGTATCAGAAACGTGGGGGATTTTCATGAGCAAAGGGTTTTACTACAGAATCGAGTGTTGTTTTCACAGGTTGCAAACAGCTTATTAAATCCAAGCCTAAACCAAGGTTATCTTTAAAGTGCATGTGCTTAAGAGCTCTCAGAACAGGAAAACAAGAGGAACTGCAGGTCATGGTGAGAACAACTTGAGGACTGTGGCTCTGGTCTGTCAGTGCCTGTTGCAGAAAGGCTTATTAATGCCCTTTAAAAAAATAACAACTCTCGGCTGATTTATTTCTTAGATTAAGTAAGAACTTGAGTTTTCTAGTTGGTGTCAGGCGTTGGATTGCTTCCACAGCTGGTATTTTGAATTAGAGCTAATGTCACGTTCTGACAGCATTTTGCAGTACACCTGTAGGGAATATTGCATTCTTAAACAAACTTCAAGTAGAGTGTATTTGTATTATTACCCATACAGTGTTTTGGAGTTCAAAAGTTCCTGCAGTAATTGAGGACAAAACAGAGACCTGTCTCTCTTGTTCCATGTGACACTGCTCCAAACCCCAACAGCCTAATGAATTTTGTTGTATCTGTAAGATGCTGAAGGTTTATTTAACAACATAGGAAAACTACCTCTTCAGCACAGAATTATTAATCTTGGTCTACAGATGCCTTTGTCTGGTTTAAACCCCATATCTTAATTCCAGAATACCTTTTGTACCTTAAATTTATATCCTGCTGGAATAACCTCTCTTGACAGTTGTGAAACTTGCTATTACTGACAGAAATCCTACAAACTGCTCAAGTAGTGTTCTCATTTTGACTTCCCTCACCATAAAACAGGCCCTCCTGCATTCCTGTGCAGGTGTTTTTCCTAGCAGTGAGGATGGGAGAAAAAAGAAATGAAAAGAAAAAGAAAATCTTTAAAGTAGAATTGTAAGGAACTGGCAAATAATCACCCAAAGGCAGCTACCAGTGGAGGTTTTTTGAAGGAATTAATAGATCCACGCAAGAGGGTCTGGACACCACAGACAAGAAACACAAAGTAATCACAAGTTCTCAAAATCTGGTATCACACTTTTTCGAACAGAGATGAAGAAAATTAGTATTTAGAAAGTTCTTCAGGATCTGATTCTAAATGGTAAGAAAGAAGTGGCTGAGATAACAAAGGGAGAAAACAGCTTGAAGGGTGGTGATGAAAAGGGGTGTAAAATTGAAAAAAAAAAAAAAAAAAAGAGCAGCAAACTCTGGAAAGGCAGGTTTCAATTCATTCAGGGCAACTGAAAAATACTGTCCCACAGGACGAGGCAGGTGTTGTTTCTTGGAAATCACCAAGAATCTAAATAATGCACATCACATATATAGGAAGAATACTACATAAAGCAAGAAGTCACAACAGCAGCAGCAGTCCTTGTTTTCATGACTTCTAGAATGGATAAACTAAAACTCCACAATTTCCTACTGCTGGTTTTGTCTCATCTTTACACGGCCCAGCTCTGTGACCTTTCTAGAGTAAATACTGGTGAAGGCAAGGAGCTGGTGTGACGTTGAAGTGCCAGCTTTGTTCCCTTGATATCCAGGCTCAGTCATTAATCAAGGAGAGTCAAGCTGGTCCCTAATTACAAGCTCTCCAATCACCTCAAAAAGAAAGCAGCATGCAAAACTAGGTCAAATAAATAAGAAGGAATATGAAAAAAACCCCAGCACAAACACATGGGGACAAATTGAGGACGGCCAACAAAATATTAGCATTGTGCATATAAAAAGCAACAATAAATCAACCTTTAAGTGCTTCATTAATAAGCAAGAAGAAATATTAGTTTTGATTCTCAGTGGGAAAGGGGGACTAGTGACAGATGACCCTACGAGGGCTAAAGTGACAGTACTTTTCTTTCTGCTTTAGCCCTCTCTAAAGAGGTCAGCTGGGAACAGATGGCCAACAACCGCC